GTCCCAACTTAAAGATGAAGAAAAGAGCGTAAATTCTGTTCATTCTTAAATGAAGCTGTCTGGGGTGGAATTTGCTATTTTGATTTCAATACAGGCTTTGTCAGGAGTTTTTGTAGAGAATGAGTGAGGCTGAGTTTTATTTTCTTATGAATCTCAACAGATAAATTTGGTCAACGAGCTTTGTTGGCAAAGTCTGTATGGATATGAATGACAGCGTTCCACAATACAAAGAGACTACTGCTGATTCTATCCAAGAGATGGAAAGGTAAGATGATTAAAGCCTTCAGAAATAAGACATTTTAATACACCTGCAAAGTGAATGTGAAGCTGATTAAGTATTTACAAGCCTAAATTTATTAGGAATTTTTCTTTTTTCTTCCTGTGGCATTGTTTGCTATGGTTTTGGCAATTCATACTTACCCAGCTGCTGCACAGCACACACAGTTTCTCTCTAGCTCTTCAAAAGGAATAGGGAAGCTTCAGTTCTAGACATTAGAGGGAATATGTGCATGTTGTGGCCTCCTCTTTTCCTTTTACGGCTCTGTATGTAGAGGTTATATGACCTGATATGGTGGGAAGCAGCTCCTTTGCCCCCATTAACCACTAAGCTATTTCCTTCCCCCATTTAGGATAAGACTTTATTCAAGTTGTAGGAGTCAGCTTTCATATACTCCATTTTAAACATGCTCCAGTTCTTTCTTCCTCTAGCATAATAGCAGTGAAATTACTGTAACTTGCAACTAAGTGAATGAAAGAAAATCAAATCGAGACAATATACCTTGTGGATTTATTGTAGGTCAGAGGAGAAGCCAAGATTAGGGTATGGAAGCCTGCTGTCTTAGGCCTCATCTTTCTTGTCTATGCTTGGAAAATGCTTAGGCAGACATATAAATTTGCTCTTGGGAATATTTATATACTTGTTTAAGTGTTTCAGATATCATACTCAAAAAGCAAATACATGCCAGAAGATATTTATATTACTGTTACCTATGTGAAATTACTACCTTATTTTTTCAAGTAATGCTAGAAGAATGCTGGTAAAACTTATTTAAAATTACAAAGTGTCATGGATTAATGGCATTTATCTTTACAGCCATTTAAAAAACATTTAAAATCATTTGCTTGTATTGTGCTAACTTTTTTTTCTTTGCCTAAAAGCCATTTTTCTTAATACAGTGAGTCCTGTTGAATAGTCCTGAAAGTGTCAGAACTTCTAGTTCTGATTTCTTTTTAAGCTTCAGAATGATCTGAATAGCTTTCCTTTAAATACCTGTCTTGTGTCGCCACTCCATTCTCCTGTGATTATGTTAATAGCAAGTGTTCCACAGCTTTGAAAGA